ATTGAAATGATTTACAGAAATATTTTTAAAAAATTAAAGAAAATATTATAAGAGAACAAAAAACTATTGAAATATAGGAACGATTGGGAAATTTGTAAAAATACAGGAAAAAATGCAAAAAAAACTGACTAGAATCTATTAAAAAAGAATAATATAAGGAAAAAGTTATTCAGTTTAGAGAAGGGACAACATTTCTAAGAAATGAAAAAATTATGAAAAACTATAAAATTTATTAAATGAGCAAAGAATGATAAAAAATTATAAAGGAACTTAACAACAAAATGAGAAAATAACGTATAAACACACACAGCACATGATATTTTCTAAATATTTCTGAAATATTTCATTGAAATTTTGAAATATTCCAATGTAAAGTCCTTGAAATATTGCTGAAATTAGGGAAATGTCCGCCTATAAGTAATATTGCCGGGTAATTTTGCTGAAATATTTCATTAAAATATTATAGAAAAATTCCAACTTAAATGATGCTAAGGACCCTAAGGTGTTGAACATGTTAGAAAATAACGATTGACTTCATATTTTAAAAAAGTTTCTAACTTTCTTTGAAATATTTTCTGAATATTACAGAGTCTTCATTTGTAATATTGCAGGAGTCTTAATGTGTAATATTTCAGCAAAATTTCACGGCAATATTTCTTATAGGCGGACATTTTCCTGTTTTCATCAACATTTCATGAACCTTGCATTGAAATATTTCAAATCTTTCAATGAAATATTCATGAAATGTTTATGAAATATAATGTGATGTGTGGGAAAAAAAGAAAATCCTTAAAAAAATTAAACGATTAACTGAAAAGTTTTTTAAAAATTGTACTAAATATTAAACAAATAAAAATTCATAAAACGAATTGAATTAATTGAATAATAAATTGAAAATTGGATGGAATAAATTTTAAAAAAACTATGAAAACTTTTAATAAAGCTAATAAGTTTGACTTCGAAATATTTATTTTGTCTTACTTTAACAAAGAAATAAATTAATGAATTAATAAAATAAAGATGGATTTAATTATTAATGTTACATTGAGAATTTATATCGATGGCTCCTAAATGAAAACACGTTATTCGCGAGAGCAAACAAAAAACACCCTTATTTACGAAAAAAAATAGAAAACTCATCTGAAAATTTTGTAACCTAATTTTCTTAACTTTTGCTATGTTTTTATTTTAAGCCAATATCAAATGTCTAAATAAAGTAATTTAAGGATACAACGTTAGCTTGACACAACATAAACGTTTAAATTAATTTAAATTTTAATGTATCATTCATACTTTAAAAATAACCATTAATTAAAATTGTAACATAGCCTTCAAACAACTGTCATTTTGAATAAGATGTTTTCTATTTGTTTTTCTTAATAAAGTGTTTCCTATCTGCACTCGCGAAAAACGTGTTTTCATTTAGGGGCCATCGATATAATTTACAAGAATAATTTTAGAATTTCTTTTGTAACTTGTTTGCTACTTAAGTTTGATGAATTCGTGAATATAATTAATCATTAGTGAAAAATTTATTATTTTAATGAATATAATAATTATATATTGCATTTAACAATCATGCGATTATACGAATATTCTTAATAACACAAAAAATAATCATAGAATATCTTGAAAATTATTACAATCTATATAATAATATTCAAAATGTTTGATCTATTTATAATAAAAATAATTAATTCTAAGAAGAATATTTGAATAAATGAAATTTTGAAAAACAATAATTTTAAATAAAAGTATTTTATAGTTCATTTTTAGGACAGAATTCTTGTAAATAAAAGCAAGTGCGTTGATAGATCAGTTGGTTAAGCATTAGGTTTAGTTTGCGTTAGGTCGCGGTTTCGATTCCCCTTGAGTGCGTGAGATAATTTAACTTTAAGATAAATATTGTAAATAATCATACTGAATTAAATATATGCATTTCCGTGATTAAATTCCGAAAACAGCTCATTTTTTACTAATGAAATAACACTATTTTTTTAGCTATTTAATCAATGAGATGGTTGATTATCTGATAAAAAAAGTTACCAGAGCGCATTTTCAAAATGTTAATCAGCACTTGTAATTTTTTTACTGAAATTGTTTAAATAATCATTAAACGTATCTACATAGACGCAGTTTCAATTTTTATTTTAGTAAAAAACATTTTCTGTACTTTAATGGATCGGACCGCGGGCGGGCGATATCGCCAGCAATGGCGCGTACATTGCGCTGCTTATGTGCCGGCACGTTGGTCCGATCGATCGGACTGAGGTCCGGCACACGGCCTGCTATTATGCAGGCGTTTTGTTATCTGGGTCAGCCTTGAGCTTAACGTGAGCCTAGAGCCATAGCCAAGCCTCGAGATAAACTTAAGCCATACATGATCCTCGAGCTTAACTTAAGCCTTGAGTCATACATGAGTCTCGAGCCAAACTCACGCCTTGAGCCTAACGTGAGCCTCGAGCCAAACTTAAGCCTTAAGCCATACATGATCCTCGAGCCTAACTCAAGCCTTGAGCCTAACGTGAGCTACGAGCCAAGCCACAAAACAAACTCAAGCCTTGAGCTTAACGTAAGCCTCCAGCCAAAGCCAAGCCTCGAGCCAAACTTAAGCCTTTAGACAAACTTGAACCTCGAGCCAAAGCCAAGCCTTAAGCAAAACTTAAGCCATGAGCCATATATGAGCCTCGAGCCAAAGTCAAGCTTTCAGCCTAACGTGATCCTCGAGCCAAACTCAAGGCTTAAGCATAACGTGAGCTACGAGCCAAAGCCAAGCCACGAGATAAACTCAAGCCTTAAGCCTAACGTGAGCCTCTAGCCAAAGCCTAACCTCGAGCCAAACTCAATCCTTGAGCCTAACGTGAGCCTCAAGCCAAACTTAAGCCTGGAGAGAATACATGATCCTCGAGCCAAACTCAAGTCTTGAGCCAAACGTGAGCCACGAGCCAAAGCCACGAGACAAACGCAAACCTTGAGCTTAACGTGAGCCTCGAGCCAAACTTAAGCCTTGAGCCATAAATGATCCTCGAGCCAAACTCAAGCCTTTGGCCTAACGTGAGCCACGAGCCAAAGCCACGAGACAAACGCAAACCTTGAGCTTAACGTGAGCCTCGAGCCAAACATGAGCCTCGAGCTAAAGCAAAGCCTCGAGCCAAACTTAAGCCTTGAGCCATACATGATCCTCGAGCCTAACTCAAGCCTTGAGCTTAACGTGAGCCACGAGCCAAAGCCAAGCCACAAAACAAACTCAAGCCTTGAGCTTAACGTGAGCCTCGAGCCAAACCTGAGCCTTGAGCCATACATGAGTCTCGAGCCAAACTCACGCGTTGAGCCTAACGTGAGCCTCGGTCCAAAGCCAAGCCTCGAGCCACACTTGAGCCTTGAGACAAACATGGGCCTCGAACCAACGCCAAGCCTCGAACCAAACTTAAGCCTAGAGCCATACATGATCCTCGAGCCAAACTCAAGCCTTGAGCCTAACGTGAGCCACGAGCCAAAGCCACGAGACAAACTCAGCCTTGAGCTTAACGTGAGCCTAAAGCCATAGGCAAGCCTCGAGACAAACTTAAGCCATACATGATCCTCGAGCTTAACTCAAGTCTTGAGTCATACATGAGTGTCGAGCCAAACTCACGCCTTGAGCCTAACGTGAGCCTCGAACCAAACTTAAGCCTTAAGCCATACATGATCCTCGAGCCTAACTCAAGCCTTGAGCCTAACGTGAGCTACGAGCCAAGCCACAAAACAAACTCAAGCCTTGAGCTTAACGTAAGCCTCCAGCCAAAGCCAAGCCTCGAGCCAAACTTAAGCCTTTAGACAAACTTGAACCTCGAGCCAAAGCCAAGCCTTAAGCAAAACTTAAGCCATGAGCCATATATGAGCCTCGAGCCAAAGTCAAGCTTTCAGCCTAACGTGATCCTCGAGCCAAACTCAAGGCTTAAGCATAACGTGAGCTACGAGCCAAAGCCAAGCCACGAGATAAACTCAAGCCTTAAGCCTAACGTGAGCCTCTAGCCAAAGCCTAACCTCGAGCCAAACTCAATCCTTGAGCCTAACGTGAGCCTCAAGCCAAACTTAAGCCTGGAGAGAATACATGATCCTCGAGCCAAACTCAAGTCTTGAGCCAAACGTGAGCCACGAGCCAAAGCCAAGCCACGAGACAAACTCAAGCCTTGAGCCAAACTCTCGCCTTGAGCCTAACGTGATCCTCGAGCCAAAGCCAAGCCTTGAGCCAAACTCACGCCTTCAGCCTAACGTGATCCTCGAGCCAAAGCCAAGCCTCGAGCCAAACTCAAGCTTCGAGCCAAACTTAAGCCTTGAGCCATACATGATCCTCGAGCCAAACTCAAGCCTTGAGCCTAACGTGAGCCACGAACCAAAGCCACGAGACATACGCAAACCTTGAGCTTAAGGTGAGCCTCGAGCCAAACTTAAGCCTTGAGCCATAAATGAGTCTCGTGACAAACTCACGCCTTGAGCCTAACGTGAGCCTTGAGCCAAAGCCAAGCCTCGAACCAAAGACAAGCCTCGAGCCAAACTTAAGCCTTGAGCCATACATGATCCTCGAGCCAAACTCAAGCCTTTAGCCTAACGTGAGCCACGAGCCAAAGCCACGAGACAAACGCAAACCTTGAGCTTAACGTGAGCCTCGAGCCAAACTTAAGCCTTGAGCCATAAATGAGTCTCGAGACAAACTCACGCCTTGAGCCTAACGTGAGCCTTGAGCCAAAGCCAAGCCAGGAACCAAAGACAAGCCTCGAGCCAAACATAAGCCTCGAGCTAAAGCCAAGCCTCGAGCCAAACTTAAGCCTTGAGCCATACATGATCCTCGAGCCTAACTCAAGCCTTAAGCTTAACGTGAGCCACGAGCCAAAGCCAAGCCTCTAGACAAACTTAAGCCTTGAGACAAACATTACCCTCGAGCCAAAGCCAAGCCTCGAGCAAAACTTAAGATTGAGCAATAAGTGAGTCTCGAGCCAAATTTAAGCCTTGAGCCATACATGATCCTCGAGCCAAACCTGAGCCTTGAGCCATACATGAGTCTCGAGCCAAACTCACGCGTTGAGCCTAACGTGAGTCTCGATCCAAAGCCAAGCCTCGAGCCAAAGCCAAACCTTGAGCCAAACTCACGCCTTCAGCCTAACGTGATCCTCGAGCCAAAGCCAAGACTCGAGCGAAACTCAAGCCTTGAGCTTAACGTGAGCCTCGAGCCAAAGCCAAGCCACGAACCAAACCCAAGCCACGAGACAAAATCAAGCCTTGAGCTTAACGTGACCCTCGAGCCAAAGCCAAGCCTAGAGCCAAACTTAAGCCTTGAGCCATACGTGAGCCTCGAGCCAAACTTAAGCCTTGAGCCTAACACCAGCCACGAGCCAAAGCCAAGCCACGAGACAAACTCACGCCTTGAGCTTAACGTGAGCCTCGAGCCAAAGCCAAGCCTCGAGCCAAACATGAGCCTCGAACCAAAGACAAGCCTCGAGCCAAACTCAATCCTTGAGCCTAACGTGAGCCTCAAGCCAAACTTAAGCCTGGAGAGAATACATGATCCTCGAGCCAAACTCAAGTCTTGAGCCAAACGTGAGCCACGAGCCAAAGCCAAGCCACGAGACAAACTCAAGCCTTGAGCCAAACTCTCGCCTTGAGCCTAACGTGATCCTCGAGCCAAAGCCAAGCCTTGAGCCAAACTCACGCCTTCAGCCTAACGTGATCCTCGAGCCAAAGCCAAGCCTCGAGCCAAACTCAAGCTTCGAGCCAAACTTAAGCCTTGAGCCATACATGATCCTCGAGCCAAACTCAAGCCTTGAGCCTAACGTGAGCCACGAGCCAAAGCCAAGAGACATACGCAAACCTTGAGCTTAAGGTGAGCCTCGAGCCAAACTTAAGCCTTGAGCCATAAATGAGTCTGGAGACAAACTCACGCCTTGAGCCTAACGTGAGCCTTGAGCCAAAGCCAAGCCTCGAACCAAAGACAAGCCTCGAGCCAAACTTCAGCCTTGAGCCATACATGATCCTCGAGCCAAACTCAAGCCTTCAGCCTAACGTGAGCCACGAGCCAAAGCCACGAGACAAACGCGAACCTTGAGCTTAACGTGAGCCTCGAGCCAAACTTAAGCCTTGAGCCATAAATGAGTCTCGAGACAAACTCACGCCTTGAGCCTAACGTGAGCCTTGAGCCAAAGCCAAGCCTCGAGCCAAACATGAGCCTCGAGCTTAAGCCAAGCCTCGAGCCAAACTTAAGCCTTGAGCCATACATGATCCTCGAGCCTAACTCAAACCTTGAGCTTAATGTGAGCCACGAGCCAAAGCCAAGCCACGAGACAAATTCACGCCTTGAGCCTAACATGAGCATCGAGCCAAACTTAATCCTTGAGCCTAACGTGAGCCTCAAGCCAAAGCTAAGCCTCGTGCCAAACTTAAGCCTTGAGCCTAACGTGAGCCACAAGCTAAAACCAAGCCACGAGACAAACTCAAGCCTTGAGCTTAACGTGTGCCACGAGCCAAAGCCAAGCCACGAGACAAACTCAAGCCTTGAGCCATACATGATCCTCGAGCCAAACTCAAGCCTTGAGCCTAACATGAGCCACGAGCTAAAGCCAAGAAACAAAACAAACTCAATCCTTGAGCTTAAAGTGAGCCTCGAGCCAAAGCCAAGCCTCGAGCCAAACTTAAGCCTTGAGACAAACATGATCCTCGAGCTAAACTCAAGCCTTGAGCCTAACGTGAGCCACGAGCCAAAGCCAAGCCACACAACAAACTCTAGCCTTGAGCTTAACGTGAGCCTCGAGCCAAAGCCAAACTTAATCCTTGAGCCATATATGAGCCTCGAGCCAAACTCATGCCGTGAGCCTAACGTGAGCCTCGAGCCAAACTTAATCCTTGAGCCTAACGTGAGCCTCAAGCCAAAGCTAAGCCTCGAGCCAAACTTAAGCCTTGAGCCATACGTGAGACTCCAGCCAAAGCCAAGGCTCGAGCCAAACCTGAGCCTTGAGACAAACCTGAGCCTTGAGCCAAACATGAGCCTCGAGCCAAAGCCAAACTCAAGCCTTGAGCCTAACGTGAGCCTCGATCCAAAGCCAAACTTAAGCCTTGAGCCATATATGAGCCTTGAGACAAAACCAAACTCAAGCCTTGAGCCTAACGTGAGCCTCGATCCAAAGCCAAACTTAAGCCTTGAGCCATATATGAGCCTTGAGCCTAACGTGAGCCACGAGCCAAAGCCAAGCCTCGAGCCAAACTCATGCCTTGAGCCTAACGTGAGCCTCGAGCCAAACTTAATCCTTGGCCCTACGTGAGCCTCAAGCCAAAGCTAAGCCTTGAGCCAAACTTAAGCCTTGAGCCTAACGTGAGCCACAAGCTAAAGCCAAGCCACGAGACAAACTCAAGCCTTGAGCTTAACGTGAGCCTCGAGGCAAAACCAAGCCTCGTGCCAAACTTAAGCATTGAGCCATACGTGAGCCTCATGCCAAACTTAAGCCTTGAGTCGAACGTGAGCCACGAGCCAAAGCCAAGCCACGAGACAAACTCAAGCTTTGAGCTTAACGTTAGCCTCGAGCCACAGCCAAGCTTCGAGCCTAACTTAAGTCTTGAGCCATACGTGAGCCTCGAGCCAAACTTAAGCCTTTAGCTATACATGATCCTCGTGCCAAACTTAAGCATTGAGCCTAACGTGAGCCACGAGCCAAAGCCAAGCCACGAGACAAACTCAAGCCTTAAGCTTAACGTGAGCCTCGAGCCAAAGCCAAGCCTCGAGACAAACTTAAGCCTTGAGCCATACGTGAGCCTCATGCCAAACTTAAGCCTTGAGCCTAACGTGAGCCACGAGCCAAAGCCAAGCCACGAGACAAACTCAAGCCTTGAGCTTAACGTTAGCCTCGAGCCAAAGCCAAGCCTCGAGACAAAATCACGTCTAGAGCCTAACGTGAGCCTCTAGCCCAAGCCAAGCCTCGAGCCAAACTTAAGCTTTGAGCCTAACGTGAGCCTCAAGCCAAACTTAAGCCTGGAGCCATACATGATCCTCGAGCCAAACTCATGCCTTGAGCCAAACATGAGCCTCGAGCCAAAGCCAAACTCAAGCCTTGAGCCTAACGTGAGCCTCGATCCAAAGCCAAACTTAATCCTTGAGCCATATATGAGCCTCGAGCCAAACTCATGCCGTGAGCCTAACGTGATCCTCGAGCCAAACTTAATCCTTGAGCCTAACGTGAGCCTCAAGCTGAAGCTAAGCCTCGAGCCAAACTTAAGCCTTGAGCCATACGTGAGACTCCAGCCAAAGCCAAACTCAAGCCTTGAGCCTAACGTGAGCCTCGATCCAAAGCCAAACTTAAGCCTTGAGCCATATATGAGCCTTGAGCCAAAGCCAAACTCAAGCCTTGAGCCTAACGTGAGCCTCGATCCAAAGCCAAACTTAAGCCTTGAGCCATATATGTGCCTTGAGCCTAACGTGAGCCACTAGCCAAAGCCAAGCCTCGAGCCAAACTCATGCCTTGAGCCTAACGTGAGCCTCGAGCCAAACTCAAGTCTTGAGCCAAACGTGAGCCACGAGCCAAAGCCAAGCCACGAGACAAACTCAAGCCTTGAGCCAAACTCTCGCCTTGAGCCTAACGTGATCCTCGAGCCAAAGCCAAGCCTTGAGCCAAACTCACGCCTTCAGCCTAACGTGATCCTCGAGCCAAAGCCAAGCCTCGAGCCAAACTCAAGCTTCGAGCCAAACTTAAGCCTTGAGCCATACATGATCCTCGAGCCAAACTCAAGCCTTGAGCCTAACGTGAGCCACGAGCCAAAGCCACGAGACATACGCAAACCTTGAGCTTAAGGTGAGCCTCGAGCCAAACTTAAGCCTTGAGCCATAAATGAGTCTCGAGACAAACTCACGCCTTGAGCCTAACGTAAGCCTTGAGCCAAAGCCAAGCCTCGAACCAAAGACAAGCCTCGAGCCAAACTTAAGCCTTGAGCCATACATGATCCTCGAGCCAAACTCAAGCCTTCAGCCTAACGTGAGCCACGAGCCAAAGCCACGAGACAAACGCGAACCTTGAGCTTAACGTGAGCCTCGAGCCAAACTTAAGCCTTGAGCCATAAATGAGTCTCGAGACAAACTCACGCCTTGAGCCTAACGTGAGCCTTGAGCCAAAGCCAAGCCTCGAGCCAAACATGAGCCTCGAGCTAAAGCCAAGCCTCGAGCCAAACTTAAGCCTTGAGCCATACATGATCCTCGAGCCTAACTCAAACCTTGAGCTTAATGTGAGCCACGAGCCAAAGCCAAGCCACGAGACAAATTCACGCCTTGAGCCTAACGTGAGCCACGAGCCAAAGCCACGAGACAAACTCAAGCCTTGAGCTTAACGTGAGCCTCGAGCCAAAGCCAAGCCTCGAGCCAAACCAGAGCCTTGAGACAAACATGGGCCTCGAACCAAAGCCAAGCCTCGAGCCAAAGTTAAGCCTTGAGCCATACGTTAGCCTCGAGCCAAACTCAAACCTTGAGCCTAACATGAGCCACAAGCCAAAGCTAAGCCACTAGACAAACTCAAGCCTTGAGCTTAACGTGAGCCTTGAGCCAAAGCCAAGCCTCGAGCCAAACTTAAGCCTTGAGCCATACGTGAGCCTAGAGCTAAACTTAAGCATTGAGCTTAACATGAGCCACGAGCCAAAGCCAAGGCACGAGACAAACTCACGCCTTAAGCTTAACGTGAGCCTCGAGCCAAAGCCAAGCCTCGAGCCAAACCTGAGCCTTGAGACAATCATGGGCCTCGAACCAAAGACAAGCCTCGAGCCAAACTTAAGCCTTGAGCCATACGTGAGCCTCGAGCCAAACCTGTGCCTTGAGCCTCGAGCCAAAGCCAAACTCATGCCTTGAGCCTAACATGAGCATCGAGCCAAACTTAATCCTTGAGCCTAACGTGAGCCTCAAGCCAAAGCTAAGCCTCGTGCCAAACTTAAGCCTTGAGCCTAACGTGAGCCACAAGCTAAAACCAAGCCACGAGACAAACTCAAGCCTTGAGCTTAACGTGTGCCACGAGCCAAAGCCAAGCCACGAGACAAACTCAAGCCTTGAGCTTAACGTAAGCCTCGAGGCAAAACCAAGCCTCGTGCCAAACTTAAGCATTGAGCCATACGTGAGCCTCATGCCAAACTTAAGCCTTGAGTCGAACGTGAGCCACGAGCCAAAGCCAAGCCACGAGACAAACTCAAGCTTTGAGCTTAACGTTAGCCTCGAGCCACAGCCAAGCTTCGAGCCTAACTTAAGTCTTGAGCCATACGTGAGCCTCGAGCTAAACTTAAGCCTTTAGCTATACATGATCCTCGTGCCAAACTTAAGCATTGAGCCTAACGTGAGCCACGAGCCAAAGCCAAGCCACGAGACAAACTCAAGCCTTAAGCTTAACGTGAGCCTCGAGCCAAAGCCAAGCCTCGAGACAAACTTAAGCCTTGAGCCATACGTGAGCCTCATGCCAAACTTAAGCCTTGAGCCTAACGTGAGCCACGAGCCAAAGCCAAGCCACGAGACAAACTCAAGCCTTGAGCTTAACGTTAGCCTCGAGCCAAAGCCAAGCCTCGAGACAAAATCACGTCTAGAGCCTAACGTGAGCCTCTAGCCCAAGCCAAGCCTCGAGCCAAACTTAAGCTTTGAGCCTAACGTGAGCCTCAAGCCAAACTTAAGCCTGGAGCCATACATGATCCTCGAGCCAAACTCATGCCTTGAGCCAAACATGAGCCTCGAGCCAAAGCCAAACTCAAGCCTTGAGCCTAACGTGAGCCTCGATCCAAAGCCAAACTTAATCCTTGAGCCATATATGAGCCTCGAGCCAAACTCATGCCGTGAGCCTAACGTGATCCTCGAGCCAAACTTAATCCTTGAGCCTAACGTGAGCCTCAAGCTGAAGCTAAGCCTCGAGCCAAACTTAAGCCTTGAGCCATACGTGAGACTCCAGCCAAAGCCAAACTCAAGCCTTGAGCCTAACGTGAGCCTCGATCCAAAGCCAAACTTAAGCCTTGAGCCATATATGAGCCTTGAGCCAAAGCCAAACTCAAGCCTTGAGCCTAACGTGAGCCTCGATCCAAAGCCAAACTTAAGCCTTGAGCCATATATGTGCCTTGAGCCTAACGTGAGCCACTAGCCAAAGCCAAGCCTCGAGCCAAACTCATGCCTTGAGCCTAACGTGAGCCTCGAGCCAAACTCAAGTCTTGAGCCAAACGTGAGCCACGAGCCAAAGCCAAGCCACGAGACAAACTCAAGCCTTGAGCCAAACTCTCGCCTTGAGCCTAACGTGATCCTCGAGCCAAAGCCAAGCCTTGAGCCAAACTCACGCCTTCAGCCTAACGTGATCCTCGAGCCAAAGCCAAGCCTCGAGCCAAACTCAAGCTTCGAGCCAAACTTAAGCCTTGAGCCATACATGATCCTCGAGCCAAACTCAAGCCTTGAGCCTAACGTGAGCCACGAGCCAAAGCCACGAGACATACGCAAACCTTGAGCTTAAGGTGAGCCTCGAGCCAAACTTAAGCCTTGAGCCATAAATGAGTCTCGAGACAAACTCACGCCTTGAGCCTAACGTGAGCCTTGAGCCAAAGCCAAGCCTCGAACCAAAGACAAGCCTCGAGCCAAACTTAAGCCTTGAGCCATACATGATCCTCGAGCCAAACTCAAGCCTTCAGCCTAACGTGAGCCACGAGCCAAAGCCACGAGACAAACGCGAACCTTGAGCTTAACGTGAGCCTCGAGCCAAACTTAAGCCTTGAGCCATAAATGAGTCTCGAGACAAACTCACGCCTTGAGCCTAACGTGAGCCTTGAGCCAAAGCCAAGCCTCGAGCCAAACATGAGCCTCGAGCTAAAGCCAAGCCTCGAGCCAAACTTAAGCCTTGAGCCATACATGATCCTCGAGCCTAACTCAAACCTTGAGCTTAATGTGAGCCACGAGCCAAAGCCAAGCCACGAGACAAATTCACGCCTTGAGCCTAACGTGAGCCACGAGCCAAAGCCACGAGACAAACTCAAGCCTTGAGCTTAACGTGAGCCTCGAGCCAAAGCCAAGCCTCGAGCCAAACCAGAGCCTTGAGACAAACATGGGCCTCGAACCAAAGCCAAGCCTCGAGCCAAAGTTAAGCCTTGAGCCATACGTTAGCCTCGAGCCAAACTCAAACCTTGAGCCTAACATGAGCCACAAGCCAAAGCTAAGCCACTAGACAAACTCAAGCCTTGAGCTTAACGTGAGCCTTGAGCCAAAGCCAAGCCTCGAGCCAAACTTAAGCCTTGAGCCATACGTGAGCCTAGAGCTAAACTTAAGCATTGAGCTTAACATGAGCCACGAGCCAAAGCCAAGGCACGAGACAAACTCACGCCTTAAGCTTAACGTGAGCCTCGAGCCAAAGCCAAGCCTCGAGCCAAACCTGAGCCTTGAGACAATCATGGGCCTCGAACCAAAGACAAGCCTCGAGCCAAACTTAAGCCTTGAGCCATACGTGAGCCTCGAGCCAAACCTGTGCCTTGAGCCTCGAGCCAAAGCCAAACTCATGCCTTGAGCCTAACATGAGCATCGAGCCAAACTTAATCCTTGAGCCTAACGTGAGCCTCAAGCCAAAGCTAAGCCTCGTGCCAAACTTAAGCCTTGAGCCTAACGTGAGCCACAAGCTAAAACCAAGCCACGAGACAAACTCAAGCCTTGAGCTTAACGTGTGCCACGAGCCAAAGCCAAGCCACGAGACAAACTCAAGCCTTGAGCTTAACGTTAGCCTCAAGCCAAAGCAAAGCCTCGAGCCAAAGCCAAGCCTCGAGCCTAACTTAAGCCTTGAGCCATACGTGAGCCTCGAGCCAAACTTAAGCCTTGAGCTATTCATGATTGTCGAGCTAAACTCAAGCATTGAGCCTAACGTGAGCCACGTGCCAAAGCCAAGCCACGAGAAAAACTCAAGCCTTAAGCTTAACGTGCGCCTCGAGCCAAAGCCAAGCCTCGAGACAAACTCACGTCTAGAGCCTAACGTGAGCCTCTAGCCCAAGCCAAGCTTTGAGCCAAACTTAAGCTTTGAGCCATACATGATCCTCGAGCCAAACTCAAGCCTTGAGCCTAACATGAGCCACGAGCTAAAGCCAAGAAACAAAACAAACTCAATCCTTGAGCTTAAAGTGAGCCTCGAGCCAAAGCCAAGCCTCGAGCCAAACTTAAGCCTTGAGACAAACATGATCCTCGAGCTAAACTCAAGCCTTGAGCCTAACGTGAGCCACGAGCCAAAGCCAAGCCACACAACAAACTCTAGCCTTGAGCTTAACGTGAGCCTCGAGCCAAAGCCAAGCCTCGAGCCAAACTTAAGCCTTGAGACCAACATGAGCCTCGAGCCAAAGGCAAGCCTCGAGCCAAACTTAAGCCTTGAGACAAACATGAGCCCCGAGCCAAAGCCAAGCTTCGAGCAAAACTTAAGTCTTGAGCCTAACGTGAGCCTCGATCCAAAGCCAAACTTAATCCTTGAGCCATATATGAGCCTCGAGCCAAACTCATGCCGTGAGCCTAACGTGAGCCTCGAGCCAAACTTAATCCTTGAGCCTAACGTGAGCCTCAAGCCAAAGCTAAGCCTCGAGCCAAACTTAAGCCTTGAGCCATACGTGAGACTCCAGCCAAAGCCAAGGCTCGAGCCAAACCTGAGCCTTGAGACAAACCTGAGCCTTGAGCCAAACATGAGCCTTGAGCCAAAGCCAAACTCAAGCCTTGAGCCTAACGTGAGCCTCGATCCAAAGCCAAACTTAAGCCTTGAGCCATATATGAGCCTTGAGACAAAACCAAACTCAAGCCTTGAGCCTAACGTGAGCCTCGATCCAAAGCCAAACTTAAGCCTTGAGCCATATATGAGCCTTGAGCCTAACGTGAGCCACGAGCCAAAGCCAAGCCTCGAGCCAAACTCATGCCTTGAGCCTAACGTGAGCCTCGAGCCAAACTTAATCCTTGGCCCTACGTGAGCCTCAAGCCAAAGCTAAGCCTTGAGCCAAACTTAAGCCTTGAGCCTAACGTGAGCCACAAGCTAAAGCCAAGCCACGAGACAAACTCAAGCCTTGAGCTTAACGTGAGCCTCGAGGCAAAACCAAGCCTCGTGCCAAACTTAAGCATTGAGCCATACGTGAGCCTTATGCCAAACTTAAGCCTTGAGTCGAACGTGAGCCACGAGCCAAAGCCAAGCCACGAGACAAACTCAAGCTTTGAGCTTAACGTTAGCCTCGAGCCACAGCCAAGCTTCGAGCCTAACTTAAGTCTTGAGCCATACGTGAGCCTCGAGCCAAACTTAAGCCTTTAGCTATACATGATCCTCGTGCCAAACTTAAGCATTGAGCCTAACGTGAGCCACGAGCCAAAGCCA